CTGTGAGCAGTGAAGCCATAGCACTCTACCCAGGGGAACAGCTTGAGGCTCTGTCTAAAAAAATAAAAATAAATAAAAATAAATAAAAAAATAAAAACTTGAAAAATTCCGTTTTATCAAGTTAAAAACTTTTGAGCTACAGGAACACAAACAATAGAAATGAAACAACTATCCACAAACTTCTGTGCAATCTGATTTCTGATAAAAGACTTCTATCAGAATAAAGAACTCTAACAACTGGTCAACAGGGGGGAAAAAAACCAACCCAATTTAAAAATAGATGGAACTTTTTTTTTTGAGACATTCTCACTCTTTTGCCCTGTGTAGAGTGCCATAATGTCACAGTTAACAACAACCTCAAACCCTTCAGCTCAAATGATCCTCTTGCCTTAGCCTCCCAAGTAGGTGGGACTACAAGCGCTGGCCACTATAGTTGTTTCTATTTTTAGTAGAGACAAAATCTTGCTCTTGCTCAGGCTTATCTTGAACTCTTATGCTCAAGCAATCCACCTACCTGGGCCTCCCATAAAGCTAAGATTACAGGCATCAGCCACCACACTCAGATTTAGACACATTTAAATAGACATATCACTAAAGAAGATATATGATTACGTGAAAAGATGCTCAGTATCAATAATCACTAGGTGCTTGGTACCTGTAGCACAGTGGTTACAGTACCAGCCACATACACCCAAGGCTGGAGGGTTTGAACCCAGCCTGGGCCGACTAAACAATGACAACTGCAACAAAAAAATAGCCAGACATTGTGGTAGGTGCCTGTAGTCCCAGCTACTCCGGAGGCTGAAGGAAGAGAATCGCTTAAGCCCAAGAGTTGGAGGTTGCTGTAAGCTGTGACGCCATAGCACTCTATCCAGGGCGACATAGTGAGACTCTTAAAAAAAAAAAAATTGTTAGGAAAATACAAATTAAAATCACAACAAAATACATGAAAAATTCGTGGGCACCCTTAGCTAAGTGGTTAGAGCGCTGGACCCGTGCACTGGGGTTGGCAGGTTCGAACCAGGCCCAGGCCTACTAAACAACAACAAAAATACCCAAGAAAAACAAAATACATGAAATTCTGTAAAAGGCAAAACTACAGAGACAGTAAAAAGATTACTTCAGGGGAAGGAGGAACAAATAGGCAAAGCACATGTGACTTTTAGGGCAATGCAATTACTCTGTATGATATTATAAGGATGGATACATGTCAACATACATTGTCAAAACCCACACCAAGTCCAACACCAAGAGAAAGCCCTAATGTAAACTATGCATTTTAGGTGATAACAACGTGTCAACATAGGTTCAAAGATAAGAATCAACTTAGGTGGAAGATGTTCATAGTTGGGGGCGAATATACAACTGTGTGGGGACAGGGGATATATGAAAACTATGTACTTTCTGCTCAGTTTTTGAAAAAATTTTGAAAGAAAATCCACCATGAGATACCATCTCACACCCACAAGAACTGCTATAATAAAAAAGACAAGGGCCGGGTAAGGTGGCTCACGTCTATAATCCTACCACCCTGGGAGGCCAAGGTGGGCGGACTGCCTGAGCTCAGGTGTTGGAGACTAGCTTGAGCAAGAGTGAGACCCCATCTCTAAAAAATAGCTGAGCATTGTGGCAGGTACCTGTAGTCCTAGCTATTTGGAAGGCTGAGACAAAAGGATCTCCTGAGCCCAAGAGTTGGAGGTTGCTATGAGCTACAATGCTAGGGCATTCAACACCAGGATGCCAGACTGAAACTATATCTAAAAAAAAAAAAAGAGAGAGACAGAGAGAGAGAGAGAGCGAGAGAGAGAGAGAAAGCAAGGCCAGGCACCATGGCTCATAACTATAATCCCAGCACTTTGAGAGGCTGAGGCAGGAGGATCACTTGAGGCTATGAGCTCAAGACCAGCCTGGAAAATATATCAAGTTTCCATCTCCAAATAAATTAAAGAAACATTATGGTGCACGACTATAGTCCCAGCTGCTCAAGAGGCTAAGAAAGGAGGACTGCTGGAGCCCAGGCGTTCAAGGCTGTAGTGAGCTACGACTATGCCACTGCACTCTAAAGTGGGTGACAGACTAAGACTGCCTCTTTAAAAAACAAAAGGCAGTTCCTTTCTTCATCAGCCAGGAAGGACATATGTTGAGGTTGATAATACCTATCAAGGACAATAACTATAACAGTTTCCAGCACTTTGACAAAACCTCAGGGATGTCGTCTCCTGGCCAGGCATCTGCAATTTCCAATTTTTGGAGTATCCATTGTATCCCTGGAGATTGCAGCTCTCTATAAATTTGCTATGGCTGAACCAAGAAAGAAGGTATACTTGGATTTCTACAGAAATTATCATTCCATGAAAGATTTTGAGGAGATGGGGAAGACTGGTATCTTTTAGAGTGCAAAGTGATTTTAGTATATAAAGAATTTCTTTGGAGCCAGGCGCAGTGGCTCAAGCCTATAATCCCAGTAAATCAGGAGGCTGAGGGGGGTGGATCGCCTAAGCTCACAGGTTTGAGACCAGCCTGAGCAAGAGCAAGACACAGACAGCTTCGTTAAAAAAAAAAATAGGTGGCTCGGCGCCTGTAGCTCAAGCAGCTAAGGTGCCAGCCACATACACTGGAGATAGCAGATTCAAATACAGCCTGGGCCTGCCAAATGACAATGACAACTACAACCAAAAAATAGCCAGGCATTGTGGCAGGCACCTATAGTCCCAGCTACTTGGGAGGCTGAGGCAAGACAATCACTTAAGTCCAGGAGTTGGAGGTTGCTGTGAGCTGTGATGCCATGGCACTGTACCCAGGGCGATAGCTTGAGGCTCTGTCTCAAAATATACTTCAAAAAAAAAAATAGCTTAGTGTTGTGGCAGGTAGCTATAGTCCCAGCTACTTGGGAGGCTGAGGCAAGAGCATCCCTTGAGCCTGGCCCCACCCAGCTAAAACAGCAGTGGCAACTGCAACAAAAATAGTTGAGTGCTGTGGCAGGCACCTGTGTACCAGCTACTCGGGAGGCTAAGGCAAGAAAATCGCTTAAGCCCAAGAGTTGGAGGTTGCTGTGAGCTGTGATGCCACAGCGCTCTACCAAGGGCTACAGAGTGAGACTCTGCCTCCAAAAAGAAAAGTACCGGGCAGCACCTGTAGCTCAGTGAGTAGGGCACCAGCCCCATATACCAAGGGTGGCAGGTTTGAACCCGGCCCTGGCCCTGACCAAAACTGCAACAACAATAAGGTGGGTGCCTATAGTCCAAGCTACTAGGGAGGCTCAGGCAAGAGAATAGCCAAAGCCCAGGAGTTGGAGGTTGCTGTGAGCTGTGACGTCACAGCACTCTACCAAAGATGATAAAGTGAGACTCTGTCTTTAAAAAAGAAAAAATAAATATTATCATACAATTCCATTTATAAGAAATGTCCAAATAAAACAAACCTATAAACTGAAACTAGATTAATTATGGTAAAGGGAATGATTCAAATGGACACGAGGTTTCTATTTAGGATGATGGAAATGTTCATTACCTTGTGATGATCACTGTAAAACTGTACATTTAATATCACTGAATTGTACACTTGAAACAGGTAAATTATGTGGTATATAAACTTATCTCAATAAATCCATCCGAGGCTCAGCGCCCTAGCACAGTGATTACAGCGCCAGCCACATGCACTAAAGCTGGCAGGTTCAAACCTGGCCCAGGCCAGCTAAAACAACAATGACAACTGCAATAACAAAAAAAAATAGCCAGGTGTTGCGGTAGGCACCTGTAGTCCCATACTTGGGAGGCTGAGGCAAGAGAAGCGCTTAAACCTAAGAGTTTAAGATTACTGTGAGCTGTGATGGCACAGCACTCTACAGAGCCAAGGGCAACAAAATGAGACTCTGTCTCAAAAAAAAAAAAAATTCTATCCCAAAAAACCTATATGAAATAACACTATTAAGGATGATATTTAAAAATAAGAAATTAAATACCAAAACAGCTTAGAATTGAATGTGATTTCCTTACATTGTAGAAAATGGGAGTACAAAGGGAAAAGGGGATTAAGAGACACTGGTTTTTGTAAAAGGCACTATAGACCAAGTTAACTTTTGACATTATATGCTTGAATAACTGTATCATCTATAAAACATGTAAAATTAGCAAAGAACTTCTGGTTATCACTTGTTAAGCAAATTCTCTTTCTGGGTTTTAGTACAATGCGATAACATTAACAAATAATGCCACAGTTCAAATTTGTAGTGGTTGCCCATTTCTCATCAAAATGATACAATATTGACTCAAAAGGTACCTTCTAAACTAAGGAAAAGTCTTCCTTAAATTTACAATTGATTCTAAAACCACTAGTACATACCAGAATCTTCTGTGGGTTCAGTTTTCACTTTGATGGGACCACAACTGAAAAGAGAAGGAAACCCCAATCAAGCTATGCAACAGTGAAAGCCACTCTCACAATATTCAAATGCACTGGATCTCCAAGTATAAACTCACCTGACCAAGGTGAATGTCAAACAGCCCAACTTAAAATTTACATATTTATTTCTTGCATGAGTAAGAGTTGTCAACTGAATTTAGACCTTTAATTCCAATCTACCTTTTGAAAAAAAAATAAATACTGTAGAGTCACATATTAATTTGCAAATTCTACTTTAAGGCTTTCCACTTCACACTGTGGTCAATCACAGCTTTATTTAGGCAACACCACTATCCAAAAGCAGTGTTTTTACCAAGTCAAAAAGTGAATTTTTACAAGATCCCCAAATGATTGAATTGCATATTAAACCTCAAGACGTGTGACTACGGCCTTTTTAATATTCTAATATCTCAATAATCTAAAAACTAAGACTTTATAAGGCATGGAAGTTGAAGAGTAGTAATGAAATTAGGTTTTTTTTACCTTCCACCTGGAGATAATATTGACCTTTCAGAATCTGATACCATCACACGACCACCTGTACACAGGAAAAAATAAAATTAGATTAAGGTTTATTTAACACTTCAAACACTTTTTTTTGCAATTTTTGGCCAGGGCTGGGTTTGAATCCGCCACCTCCAGCATATGGGGCTGGCGTCCTACTCCTTTGAGTCACAGTTGACGCCCAACACTTCAAACACTTTAATACAGAATAACCAGGGGTAGGGCTGGAATTTGCAGGTTTATATCATACTAGAAAAAGAACTGCATTAGTTATAAAACAAAATACTTTATTCTCCCCATAAGGAAGATAAATACTGCTGACAATCACGTAACAGCATTTTATTCCTTCCAATATCATCCTTTTAATAAAAAAGCTCTTATTTTTGTGAGAGGAATACATAAATATGGCATTTGTCTAGAGAGGTAGAATAAGTAGAAAAAGACTGCTGATGTATAAAATCATGATGCAGACTGCAATTAAGAACACATATGGGGCAGGCCTGGTGGTTCATGCCTGTAATCCTAGCAATCTGGGAGGTGGAGGTGGGAGGACTGCCTGAGTTTGGGCATTCAAGACCAGCCTAAACAAGAGTAAGACAGCCAGGCATTGTGGTAGGAGCCTACAGTCCCAGCTACTTGGGAGGCTGAGGCAAGAGGATCTCTTGAGCCCAAGAGTTTAAGGTTGCTGTGAGCTCTGATGCGATGTGACTTTGTCTCAAACATAAACAAACAAATAAATACAAATAAAAATAAGGCTGATGGCTCATGCCTTTAATCCTAGCACTCTAGGGGGCGGAGGTGGGTAGACCGCCTAAGCTCACAGGTTCTGACCAGCCTGAGTCAGAGGAAGATCTCATCTCTAAAAATAGCTGGGCATTGTGGTGGGCGCCTATAGTCCCAGCAACTTGGGAGGCTGAAGCAAGAGGATCTCTTGAGCCCAAGAGTTTGAGGTTGCTGTGAGCTATGACTCCACTGTACTCTACAAAGGGTGACAAAGTGAGACTGTCTAAATAAATAAATAAATAAGACAAAACAAAACAAAATGAAACAAAAAAGAATACATCTGGAAGCCAGGTAAGGTGGCTCACAGCTGTAATCCTAGGACTCTGGAAAGCCAAGGAGGGTAGATTGTTTAAGCTGAGGAGACTGAGACAAGTCTGAGCACAAGTGAGACCCTGTCTCTAATAAAAATAAAAATTGGTGGCACCCATTGCTCAGTGGGTAGGGTGCCAGCCACATACACCAAGGCTGGTGGGTTTGAACCTGGCCTGAGCCAGCTAAAACAACAATGACAACTACAACCACAATCACAACAACAACAATAAAAAGTAACTGGGAGTTGTAGTGGGTGTCTAGTCCTAGCTACTTGGGAGGCTGAGGCAAGAGAATTGCTGAAGCCCAAGTGTTTGAGGTTGCTGTGAGCTGCGACACCAAGGCATTCTGCCCAGGGCAACTTCTTGACACTCTGTCTCAATAAATAAAAAAAGAAAAGCTTGCCAGGTGTTGTATGTTGTATTGGTGCTTGTAGCCTTAGCTACTCGGGAGCCTGAGGCAAGAGGATCACTTGAACCCAGGAGTTTAAGGCTGCTGTAAGCTATGATACCACTGCACTATACCCAGGGCAACAGAACAAGACTCTCTCAATAAATAAATAAATAAAATTTTAAAAAATCTAGAATATACAAACAAATCCACAGCGACAAGACCATTAGTGGTTCCCTGGGACTGGGGAAGTCAGGACAGAATGAAGAATCACCAACGGGCCTGAGGCAACTTGGGAACAAGGAGATATTCATCATCTTGATTACAGAGATGGTTTCATGAGCATATCTAGGTCAAACTGTGTACCTGAAGTACTTTCTATTTATTATGTGCCAATTATACCTCATTAAAGTAACAAGAGCTTAAAAACAAACTGACAAAATCCCATTGCAATGACTTTTTTTTATTTCCTTGCT